TATATATATATATATATATATATATATATATATATATATATATAATGCCCAATTATGTTTTACAAAAGCCAATAAATAATTTTTATTCTTTAAAAATAACTATTTTATTTTCCATAGAATAAAAATAAACTTTAACTATTACAGCAAATATTAAACTCTGTAAATGCTTTGTTTGACGTGAAATAAACTCATTCATCCTCAACATTTTTAAGGACAATTACTATCAAAATTAATCAGTGGTGATGTTTGGATTATATATTATTCATCCATATTTTAAAACAAAATTCTATTAAATCCCTATATCTCTCCTACTATTATTGCTAAACATCTCAGTTCTTCCAACGATAATATCTCTTTAGAACATGTTTATACCATTTTAGATGATTTTTTATTGAGATTAAATCTAATTTTTTTTATAAAAACAAAATATTTGTTTTTTAATCTTTCCATCTAAAATTGATTATCTTAACAACATAAACTTTTCTCTATATACTGTTCCTAATAGTCCAATAAAACATAAGTGATCTGAAAATTATGTTAGATATGTTTAATACAACTTTTCTCTCTTCTTTGATCGTTTTACTCTTCGCAAGTGAAATTATCTTATTATCGGTGCATGCAGTCTTGGGAAGGCATGCCGAGGTGCAGAATGACTTCCGAGGAAGACGAATATTTTAGGTGATAATGTTTGGAATCAATGACAACCATATGCTCGTTAATTATGATGGATGGATGGATGGATGCATGAACCAAGCTTTCTTTGATCATCTAATATTCGCTGTGTTTCCATTGTTTAATCATCTAACACTTGGACTGTACGGAACAGAACAAAAGAATAGGAAGGGCCAAAGTGGAGGGGAAGCAATTACTTCAAAATAGTTCCATGATTTCAGTAGCAAAAGCAATACACAAAACAAAACTTGTCATTACAATCGTACACTTTAATCATTCACTATTATTGACGACGGAATGATGGCAAATCCCATTATCAGTTCAGCTCTTTCTTTTCTTTTTGTTGATTTGATCCTAACAACACATATAATTAATATATATATATATATAATTACAGGTTTAATAGGATACAAAATTTTATTTATATATTTATTTTGTTAATTTGACAAGTAAATAATATATTTTTTATTATTATACATCAAAGTCTCATTGGCCAGTAAAGATTGATTGATACATAACATAATAGATTCAAGCCAATAAATAAGTAATAAGATCGACATAGATTGAAAGTTAAAAAAATCAATGTTTAATAGTAGAAAGTATTTTGACTATTATCTCGAAAGTATAAAATCGTAAAGGATTCGTCGAAGGATTAAGCGTTTTCTAGTGACTTGGATCTATTAATGATATGGACATTATTCAAGTTTGATATAAAATAATTTAAATTTGAGTTTTAATTTGAACTTTCAGGTAGAGTTGTAGTAGGAGTAATATCATATAGTTTAGCCTCCCCTTTTATCATTTGCTTTATGATCCAGAATTCGAATCTCGAGTGGCACGTGCCAGCAGACCCCGCCATCCACCTGCCAGTCCACGCGACCGAGAAATACGGTGTCCCACTTTACCCGCGGGCACAACGCCGTCACTCGTCCTTAGCGTACGCGAATATGGGCCCCACCTTTAGGTGTAGGCCAGCTGCCGCTGCTCCTCTGCGCCTTCTTCTTCTTCCTCGCCTGTCACGAGCTGCTTCCTCCACCAAACTTTCTCACCTAACTCCGTGGCGGCCGTGGTCCATTTACATCGATGTCCCCGTCTGTCCCCATGGAGAATCCAAGCTCGATCTAGTCCCTCGGGCCACCATCTCTTTTTACTCTCTCTCTCTCTCTCTCTCTCTAAAAGATGGCGTCAAAAAGCTCCTTTTAACTGCGACCAGTACGTGTAGAAGTTCTACGGAGAAAGATGACGGGGAACATGGATGGCCGGCCTGACGCTCCTATCAGAAATGATGTCGTGCCCAATCTGCTACATTCAATGTTACTTCTCTTGTTTCAAACCTAACGGTCTTCTTCCTCGCTTGATCGTCCCAAAGTCTTTCATGCAGATAGATCTACAGGACTCGTCGCTCGTCTCTTTCTCCACCTGTTTCTCTCGTCGGCGGTCTTCCACCCCCGCCACCACTACCAGTCTCCGCCCCCTCCCACTTTATACCCCCTCACTCCTCCCTCTTCACTCCTTTTCTGCGTCCCTTTTCTCCATTGCAAAGCAGTCGACATGTGTTTTGGTCGTCTCCTGCTCTCCGACCCTTTCTGCAACTCCTCAGTTCTCTTTGTCGTCTTAAAGCTCTGAGGCTGCTGTCTCTTAAGCTCTCCGAGGAAAAGGTCTGAGAACCGCGTTGCAGATCACTCTTGTTTTATCTGCTTGACGTTCCATTCTCCTTCCTTTCTTGCTGGAGCAACATAAGTTAGATATGTATCTGTTCCTTCTGATGTTGGCTTTCCCATACATGCAGCAGTACGCCATCAGCTCTCGCGTTGCGGAAGTCTGTTGGTGGACGGATTCCACTGGCTTACCGAAGCTAAATGGTGTTCGGCGTTGTCGATTAGTTGATCGGCGGAAGATGCAAGATGCAAAGAAGATTGAGATTGCCAAGCCTGTGGCGTCGAGACCTTTCGCCAGTTTCAGGCCACTTCCTGAGCTCCTCGCGAGAGCGACCAGTTCCTCTCCGACGCCTTCTTCTGCTGAGAGAACAGTCGCCATCAAGCCGAGGACTATGAGATTCAAATCCTCGTCGTACGATTCTGCAGCTGAAGCTGTTCCACCGCCTGTGAGTTCAATCAAGATTATGTAGTTTCCATGGTTTCTGTGTGCATGCCTTTTCTCCCTCTGTGATCAGTGAAATCTCCTGCAGGATGATGCATCCGAGAAGAGATCCGTGGCAACCATGGGATCAGATTCCGTGTCAAGCTTCATCTACAAACCTACTGCAAAGCTTGTTTCAAGAACCCTTAATCTGGTCAGCGTGCTTTTCCTTGCCTATGAGTCAAATGGTGCGATCTCCTTAGATATTAACTCCACTCTGCTTATTTCGAACAGGGAAACTTCGATCAAGTTCTTGACCAAGTAAAAACATCAAACAGCCGACCTCAGAATTCAGCATCAGCTTCACAATCTGAACCGAACCAGGCATATGATCCTTCCAAGTCAGTGACGGCCGGCGAGCTTGATACGAGGAACCAGCAATCGGCAGATCGGCCGTCTTATGACGGCTACAACTGGAGAAAATATGGACAGAAGCAAGTAAAAGGAAGTGAGTACCCGAGAAGCTACTACAAGTGCACACATCCCACTTGCCCTGTAAAGAAGAAGGTGGAGAGGTCACTTGACGGGCAGATAGCTGAGATCGTGTACAAGGGCGAGCACAACCACCCCAAGCCTCAGCCTCCCAAGCGACCCTCGTCAGGTTCACAGGTCGCCGATGAGCATGGAAGAGAGACTGGTAATCCCCCATGGAGTAATTCTCTGGATAACCACGATGGACTGATTCCCACCTATCATTTTTCCCACGATCATGTTCTCGCTACCGCTGATGATTCAAGCACTCGAGTTGTCAAGGTTGGAGGCAGAGCAGCTGCTGTGGATCATGACAAGCTTGATTGCAAGAGAAGGTACGCATGCATAACCTTCACGAAAGTACTGTGGAAAACTGTTGTGATGCATGAACTCTTTAAGCATCTCAGGAAGAACGACGACCGAGCGAGTGGAGGGAACAGTGTTGGAGAAGGTGCTGCAGAGCCCCACTCCGTGATGCAAGCCTCCTCCTCCGTGGGATCTGACATCTCTGGGGATGGCTATCACTGGAGAAAGTATGGACAAAAGGTGGTGAAGGGCAATACTTTTCCAAGGTACCTCTGTCTCTCTCTGACAATGCCATGAACATTGTCAGAACATCTTCTCTCTGGAACATGGCCCGATGGAATAACGAACCTGTTGTTGCAGAAGCTACTACAGATGCACCAACCCGAAGTGTCCCGTGCGCAAGTATGTGGAGAGGTCGTCTGAGGATTCGGCACATCTCGTCACAACGTACGAAGGAAGGCACAACCATGAGATGCCAGTAAGAAGAGCGAGCCGTGCTGCTTCTGACCCTGAGACAGCAGCAGCTCCTGATGGCCTCCAATTGTAACTTCAACACCTGAAGGGAAAGGAAGAACCGAGTACGATTCAAATCTTGGGATCACTTACATGGTCACAGGCACTTCAATCGATTACCTTCGGTCCTCTTCAATTGTTCATTTCACTCCTGCAATCCATGACTGGTTTACAGAGTTAGCAGATCTTTATAGGATCCAAATAGGGCTCACATAGGTGTCTTGCTCAATGTATGTAGTTCATTGTTCAGATTCTGTGGGGATATGTCCCTTAATGTTGCTTGAATATTTATTTGTGATGGATTCTGATTACAAATTTTGGGTCATTTGTATAAAGGTCATTCATCTTTGTATCACATAAGATATTATAATATTACCGACAATAATTCCGTTGTTGGCGAGAGAAAAACTCGCAAATTCACCATTTAGAAGATTGTCAAAAAACCACCATTGTAAGAAAAACCACAACCGCAATAAACTACTTACGAGTCTGACTCCCATGATACGGTGATGGCGCTATCAAAAAATTCAAGTCTTCACATCTCTACAAGATAGTATTAGAAACCAAAGATTCGATTACATATTCAGCATGTAACATATCTTTACAATTTTTACGACAATAATTTATAGAAGAAATAATTCAATGTGACCCAAGGAAGATGAAAAACATCCTTGATGACAAGATGTAATAAAAACATGAAAGGATGAATAAACAAACCTCAATATGCGAATGACAGTGATCCCAAGGAGAGTAGCACAAATTGAATGATCATCATCTGTCTTTGTATCACGTACAATATAATGAATAGGTTATAACTCTGTTGCAGTTATTTGTGATGTATAATTAAGGAAAAACAAATTCACTCGAACCCATTGTACGGAAAGCGACAACCTAAATAAACTGCTTACAAGTCATATCGTAGTATCAAAATATTACCAACATATCGATAAATTTAAGCAACATGAAAACTAGGGCAAAATTTAGACCGACAAATCATAAGAAACAGAATGCAAGCCAATTTGAAACAAACCAGAATTCTCATGACCCAATAATCCTCAGCAAAGACAGACAACATGAAACCTAAACCATCAACGAGACACCCTAATGACTACCAAATCACAGACCATGTCTTCATTAAATTATAACAAAAGGCTTTCTTGCAGCAACAAATCATCTGATCTAACAAGCAACATGTTCCTTGATCAGTCATGCTAACAAGTTTCAATTCTGTAAATCTCCTCCCTGGCGATTCTTCCAGGAAGAAAGACTCCTACAAGTGAATAATCATAAACAAAGTCCGAAACATGTGCTGCAGAATACCTCAAGGAAGTTAAGGCATTTGACATGCACTCGGCATATTATTCCATGGATCAGAGTCGAGCCCAAATCCTTGCACGAGCATAGATGGTGGTTCAGAAGGTAGATGTTTATACTCATTGCACAAATCTTGACCCAAAAGTATTGCTATCGCATCATTGAAGACAGACTGATCTTTTGCACTTTGAGAACCATCGTCAAGCCAAACTGATCCAAGTAAAGCATCAGGCCTGCAGGGTGATATGCCTTTATCCACAACATTAGGGCTGGAAACATGTTTGGCAGTCACCAAGATATTGTCTGAAGCTGCAGAGACTGATGAAAATAAATTTTCTAGATGATCAAAGAAAGAAAAACATGAGCAATAACTTTCTTTACTAATACAACAAGAATATGGAAAAGAAAAGATTAAAGAGAAGATTAATGACGTTGTGAAGTATACTTACTTGAAGGAGCCATTGAATGTGGAAACTCGTCTAATGAACTGCCACTGATGGGAGGGGTGTACTCGTTGAAGACAGAAGAAGCAGAACGACCCAAGGGAGATATTGGATCATTGTATTCTTCCAACTTCTCAGAGATACTTACCCCTGAACATTCTGCCACATTACCGGGTGTAATAGTAGAACTGGAGCTCTTGTCAGATGGTTTTTTCTTTGCAGAGCCTAGTGTCTGTGCCTCATGAAGCAATGCTTCCAAGAGACCACTATTTCGTGGTGAAATGCATTCAGATTGCAACGAAACTGTTGTTGGGGGAGACTCAATATATGTATCAGCTGCCTCAAGAGGTGTTGATGAACATGCAAGCCAACTATTACCATCAGTTTCTGTATATTGGAGTGAAGGGAGCTCCAACTTCACAGTCCCATCAATGGGACTAGAAGCAGAGAAGGTGCCATTTAGAAGGGCATGGCTGCCAGGAACTGCACTTTCCAAAGGTGTCAGGCTCTCGCCATTGGGATCAGGGTCGTATGGATAACCTAGTCCAAAAGTCTGTTTTATCTTTCCTGAAGGCTTGAACAAAAAATGTTCGTACGTGGAAAGCCCATCCGAGTCAGTACCATGTAAGTCTGGAATTAAATTTTCAGAGTCTCTAAGATGCTTGACACAACTCATTGGATTTGTGAAGGGATAGTGAAGGGATCCAATCCTTTGATTTAGCATGTTACTAGCTGCTATATCCGGAAATGGTGGTGCATAGGATAAAGACCCATAATTAGCATTAAAGTTCTCAAATGTAATATCAGGAATGTCGAAGTTGCTTCCCTGCATAAGCTCATTAGGCTGTTTATCGCTGTAACTGTACTCATTCACATTCTTGCTTTGCTGATTTTCATCAGAAACTTGAAAGTTTATATTAGGAGGGTAAAGAGGCAAACCAGCACGCTGGCGCCTTTTTATTCGTGTATTCCAATAGTTCTTTATCTCATTGTCAGTGCGCCCAGGTAACTGAAAAAAATTTGAAATGAATTACAGAATCATAAAAGGAACAAAAAAAAGGTAAACTTGATCGCAAAAACTATTATACGAAAAATAAAAATGCCGAAAACAATGTACGGTATATTGGTTGAACTAGAACAAGTATTCAAAGTAGCAAATATGTAGAATTTAGTTATAAATTAGTTGTTAGAGAATCCTATTTAAAAGAAACCCGACATGGACACAAAAGATTATGCATCTTATGTAAAAACAATTATGACCAGGTTACCAAATTAATCTGCTCTCACTACAATCCAACTCAACATCCCCATCGTGGACACATACTTGTAAAAAAACCAATAAATGAAGCCCAACAAAAGGGGGGACTGGATTAATGGCCATCAAGAAATCCACATGCGAAGCAACCCTCTTTATTATTCTTGTCCATGCCCGACCACTACGTGGAAGGATCATCTGTCCAGCACCTAGGGGATCCCATGTGGTGGGACTCAAGTGAAGCTAACTCAAAATATGGTCTGGTACATATGCATTCAAAACATGATTGGTCATGTACCATAGCAAGAGAGTGTATTGAGTTCTTGAAAAATGCAACAATCTACTATCATCTGCAGGATCCTTCAGCTTTAGCTGGCTGTCAAGCAATCATTGCAGACATAGAAAGTTTTGGGATCATTTGCTATTGTCTTGAGTATGATACCATCGTTTTGGCTTTTAAAAAAATAATATATATATATATAAATAACAGTGGTCTATTAACTTGGTCAACTGCTAGAGAACTTACCACAGATCTCAATGGGCTACACTTGGAGACATTATAGTCAATCTAGTTGAAACTGTGAAACCAAAATTTATCCAATGACCGAAAAGATCCCAACAGAGATATTTCGTCAAAACCAGATGAATCTATCCAGCCTATCCTCATCCAACTAGAATATTAAAAAATCCACCAAAATCTAATATGGGTAAGAAATCTATCAGGACTTAGTGTTCCAAACCCAGACTCCCAGAGTAGTTGCATTTACTGGATTGGACAGAGATCAGTGATCCAATGAACCACAGCGACCACCTTAGTTATCTAGGACTAGAATGATTAAAAAAAGTGGCAATACATGGTTGCTAATTCGTACATCCCTACTGCAATTCTTTTGGAAGTATATTGTACTAAGGACTCATATTTGTACCCTTTTCTTATGTTAATTACTCTCGTCTCTTCCATCATAATCAGTCTATTTCTCCTTGAATCTTTCTTTGTCCAATCTCTCTTTTCACAATTCTTTTACCATTTTTCTTCCCAATCTCTAATTTTTAGCATTCTTTTATTTTGTTCTTATGACATTTTTCCTTGCTTCGTGCATAAACTTCATTTACAAAAAGGGAATTACTAAATTTTACATTATAACTGAAAAAAGCAGCCCAAGTTAGAGTTGACATTTGGAATCTTGTTGACTATTGTGATCCTTATTCACATAATTCTAAAAGTGAGTTACCAATTTAAAAAATTTAGTAGAATCATGTCGATTGTTGTGATTCTTCTTCATATAATCATCATCTATGTTTTAGTTTATGTGCTTGCAATGTCATATTTATTGATATCAAAAAATATGAGTGCTCCTATGAAGCAACTTCTACCAACCACTCAATGTAACACTATGGGTGAAAGGTCAATTAATCATATCATAGACACCTCTAGTGTTGAAAGAAGAGAAGGAAAGGCTAGTATACAATATTTGATTAATTGATTATAAAGTACCATCAATATACAAAGACGAGCAGACCTGGACAACAATACTAAGACACCGAGTAGATCTATGACCGACAAAACTGATGCTACCTACAGATTGATAAAAGAAAGGACATATTAACCGACATGTAGCATATTTAGCTCGCAACACTAAGAAATGCGGTCACAAGTATATAAGTGGCAGGGAAATAGGTAGACCATTCTTTGAAACTAACTTGACTGGGTGTTCAATACAATCACAAAGGACGGAGCAGGAGTTTATGTTACAGAGACATGAATCCTCTTGTTTTCAGAAACTAATATATAGAACATCTCAAAATCAGTGTATGAGAAAGTTGAAAGTAAAGACTGGCAAGCTTATATTTGGATTAAGTAGGATTTAATCACTTATTATCAATCACTGCAGCTAGCATACACATCATATCCATGACTATCACAATCAAGAGCATGATTTCTGATATTAAAGTCCCATAAGTACAAGATTACCATATTTATGTGAACAAGATGTATTGGATCATCACATATGATTTTGAAGAAATAGTGTAATGTACCAAAGTTCTACTTGTAGTGAGAGTATCCATGCTAGTCTCATACTAGCAATTTATGTGCTGTAGAATATCTCAGGGCACAACTGTACTAATGAGCATGTGCCTAGTACAATTGCCAGACTTTGGCACACCCCTGAAAAGGTGTCGCACAGTAGCTGGAACAGGGAAGCACTGTCACATGACAGGTTTATCATCAACTTCATGGGACACTATGTAACATATAGCCATCAACCTATACCCACTAATGCCACT